ATTTACTCAAATTACCATATTTGTACTGTATCCTTTACTGTTTTTAAATGTAAGAATATTTGTGCTATGTTGGTGTTACACAGATTTTAGTAGTCTTAGTTTTAGGGCTGATCCCTCTGACTTATGCTGTCATGGCAATATTGCTTTATTAAAGATTGTCTCCTCATTCAATGATTAAACTTGATATAAATTATCAAACATAATTAACATAATTATCACACTAGAAAGTGGCAAGCTTCTATAAAGGGACAAAATAAGAAATTATGCAGTCTTTCTTGATTCCTTGGTTGATATATTTGAGGAATTTATTTGAATTTCACATTGGCGCCAACAGTTTCCATATGAGCGATCACTCATCATGTTTCATCAGTTTCTAGTGTCTCCATGACTGCGCAAAATTCACACTGAACTAAGCACCACTAAACATGAAAGACTTAGGGACAACATTGCGCTAAATACACAGCACCATGCACTACTTTTTTTTCACTGCACTGCAGATCAGTACTGTGCATTTAGAGCAATGTTTCAGTGTGAACTGGCCCCCAAAAGAAGTGCATTTGTTGAGGGACCAATTTGAAGGCACACATCAAAATGCTAAAATGCATGTGTTCCCATTTAAAAAGTGTTGGTTTCCATCTATGCACTGTAGTGCAGCGTGTTTGAAAAATATATTTTTTTCTTCCTTTTAGATATAATTGAAAGGCTCATAAAAGTCTATGGCAACACATTAAATTGCATATAACTGTTCATTTTGAAGTGTTGGTAACAGATATTAACAAGCATTGGTCAATGTCTGTTGGCTCTATCAACTTCAAATCTTACATTCAATAATCCATGTAAACGCTCAACGGAAGCGACAATGGACACATGACAACACACCTGCCTAACACTACAACAAAAAGGCACATACATGCATAGATCCAAATGGGCCCTAAGGCTTTTAGATGTATTTCTGTTTTTTGCAAGTGAATTTGGCTCAGAATTTTGTTTTTCAGTTTTCATAAAACAGGGAACAGTTTACTTGTTATTGTACCTTACAATTATTTTGAACATATTCAATTTATAAAGATAAAACATGGTATATAGTATGTGTGGAATTGTTGTTTTTCACATGAAATTGATATTTTTCCCATTCCTGCCCTCATTGTAAACATCCTTCGGCCAAGTAGTAGTACTTGTAAAGTCTTCTTTCTCCAGCTGTAGCATTCTCAGGAAATTGCTCTGATCTTCTTGTCACATTGTATCTCATCTCGCTCATAGCAGCTACTAATATATCATGTTAGCTGGTTGATTAGTCAGTCAGTAAAAAAGGTAACTGTTTAGATATATATTTTGTTATCAATGACACATAGCCAGTATAGTACTGGAAAATGCCTAATAGCACTGACGTATGGATTAAAACCTAGAGATATTTAGGGTCTCTGATCAGGAGAAAATAATTAAATAATTTATTTGGAATAATATATCTATACAAAATAAATGTATGCATTAACAATTTAGATCAGCATTTTTGAATAGTTGCTAATTTCTCTGCCTATTATTAAAAATATATTCAGGATCATTTTAAAAACCAATGACCAAAATCAAGGCAAAACAGTTAAAAAGGGTATTGCTGAATAAACCGTTGCATACCAAAAAAGTGTCAAAAGTTAGTTTGTCACAAAGATTTTGATGACCCCTGGACATAAAAGGTTTAAAGCCCAACTCTGGGCACATGTAGACTGCAATAAAGTGGTGTAATTTCTCCGCCTCCAGCCCACTGATGGGAGGAGAGTAGCTAGGGAGATTACCTTATCAAGCTCCACCTGCACCTTGTCCAATCAAAATTCTCCTTGTCAGCACATCTGCTTGGCTCCCATTCCTGCCACTTATTCTGCCAGTCTGGGAGCTGCTGTAAATGGGATGGCAAGAGGCTAATACTAAGTCGAATTCAAAGCAACAAAATATTACCTACACCACATCCTCCTGTTCTCCGCAGTGCAAACTTCCTATCTCCAGGCTACATACAGCATACAAAACAAGCTGTCTGTCACGTTGTTAAACCTTCACAACCTTTTTATCAGCAATCAGTGCAGCTCACATTAATCCACCTATGCATTTCAACCTAGGTAGGCTTAATCATAGCTGATTGTACTCTAACGATGGCTAAAATACCCTTCCATCACACCAGTAGAAGGAGTAAATGACAGTAACACAATTTACATACAAAAGCATAGTAACAATGTATGAAATTAAAAATAGCAGCATGTATAAAAAATTTGACTTCGAATTGTAAATCAATAACATATCACAATACAATTTTTGTTTCTGCATGTTATTTTAAAAAGTTAAGATCATATCTATTTTTTAGGGCCCCACTCTATACACATCACTGTAGATGCTTTTTACTCCTCTACCCCCTTCCCTGTCCATACCACATAGGTAGCCTCTGGAGCCTCTACTCAAAGGGAGGCAACTCCTGTCAAGGAGGGTAAGCAACCGTATACTTTTTTTTGCCAAGGGTTAGTGATAAGGAGCAGAGGCTGAGAGTGAAGCAATTACCCTCCCCATCATTGCATTCCAGTTAACCATCTCCTGCAGTGGCAGAAGGAAAAAAAGAGCCCTGGGCAAGATTTTTTCTCGGGGCACCCCCCTCCTAAGAGGGGGGGGGGGCAGCCCAGGAGCGGATCACACTGCCAGTGCCCCCCCCAACGGTCTCGGCACCAAGGGAGCTTACACTCTAATGTCCCCCCATATTCACACACTATTATTTTTAAACAATTATATAGCTGTGACATATACCATAGTGCTGTACAGAGAACACTGAGCCAGTCACAGCAGTCTCTGCACAGAGGAGCTTAATGCAGAATGGCACCGGCTGTAGAGGGACTATAAATCCCAGCAATACATTATACGGCAATATAGAATAGTATATGAATTTGGAACATACTCTGTGCTGCTCTGGGGTGCCAGCCTGATATCTCAGATCTAGGGTCTCACCAGGGGCAGATACAAAGGGGCTCATCAGGGGCAGACGTGGAGGGTCTCACCAGGGCAGCAGGGGCAGATGAGCAGGGTCTCCAGGGCAGATGTGTGGGGGGGCGGAAGCGCTATGAGATGGGCCAGTGGACAAGCTGTGTGGGCCAGTAGATGAGCTGTGGGGGCCTGTGGAGGAGCTGAGGGAAGCGATGGAGGAACTGTGCAGGCCAGTGAAAAGCTGTGTGATTTGTGGGCCGGTGATCTGAGCAACACTGCTGGTTTTCCCCAGAAGGCTGCCGCGAGGTCCCCAGCAAGTGGGGGACCTTACAGCAGCCAAATACATTAACAAAATTTAAAGCACCATGCACCTCCAATCCTCCGAGACTGGATCTCAGTGGGCCCCCCAGCCTTGGGCCTTGGGGTGGCTGCACCGCTGGTAGGTCTTCCCCTGATCTCCTGCATTGGTGTTCACCAGCCTGCCTACCATCCCACAGGTTTTGGAGCTAAAAATTAAGCTCTCCCCTAACCACCGTCTGGCACAGCTTCTAGCGGTAACTGCTGCCTTTAAGATGAACACAATAATCTTCCATAAATATGTGGCCTGTCCAGTCCCCCAGTACCATAGGCCTGCACACAGGGTCTGCCAGGTCTGCTTGCGCACACCCTAATCAAATCACCCCAACCGCAATACCGGAACTGCAACAGCGCATGCCATGTTTTTAGTCACTGAACTGCTGGAGAAATCACAAAGATCCCTCTGTGACCAGCTCAGTGAGAGAGAGAGCAGCATCACATGTCACAGTCCTCGGTGGCTGGGAAGCTGAGGAAGTGTGCCTGCAGCTTCCCATCCAATCAGGAAGCCGGGTGGGTTGAAGAAATGGGAATCCGGAATGCCTCATATCTGTATGTATGTATGTATGTATATGTATATATTTTATGAAACACTAAAATCTAGCTGTGTGAGATTAGTCCATCTCTGCCACATTTCCACCTTTAACTCTTTTTCTACTACATCTCTACCTTTTTTTTTCTCCACTTTCAGGGACTTCCAGGGACACCCCCTCTACATTGGCAACACCACCTCCCAAGCATCTCAGAGCTTACAGTGCTGCACAAGCAAGGGCTGCGACAGAAGCAAAGGGCTGCTAGTGATTCTGCAAGCCCAAGCAGAAACTATTTTGTGATTATTAAAATACAGGATTTATACAGCGTCAAAAGTTTGTGCAGAGCTTTACAATATAAAGAGGACATTGCAGTTACAATAGAAATCAAGACAAGATGGTAAGGAGGGCACTGCACATGAGAGCTTACAATCTAAAAGACACATGGCTGAACCCAAAGAAGCTCAAGCCAGGCCATGTCATGTGTAGCAAGGGGCCGAATCTACTGGCATACCTTTTATTTGGGAAAGCTCACACACATACCTTGCCTGGCCAGTGTGATGAACCTGATAGTTCAATGCTTCCTAAGCAAGTACCAAGGCATAGAGCAGCATGGATATGGCACTTGCCATGTCTTGGCAAGTACCAAGGCATGGATATGGCCATAAAACTGTATGCCCATTTTTTATGGTCTTACCCAGCTACAGCTTGCTTGGTGGACATTTGTAGAAGCATTGTAATTCAGCGGTATACATGCTACAGTGGTTCTCCCAGCAACATGGAGCTGTTATGGAGTATCTGATCAACTATGTGGAATTGTGGAATGCAGTAGCTCTTTGAAGCTTGGGTTCTTGGGTGAAGCTCTGTGAAGCTTGTAGGGGAGGAGGCTACCCAAGGGACATTCCATCCAACATGGCAGAATTCATCCCACCAGGGGAGGAAAGCTAAAATGCATCATTATGATTAGGTACCTTTAATGTGCTTGTGCAGAACCTTTCCCAATGGAAGCAGGAATGCATCTTATACCTGTCGCAGCTCCGTGACCCAGGACAAGCCAGAAGCAGCAGTAGCACCACTAGCAGCAGCGGACTTCTAACAGAGGTGTTGCAAAGTTTCTTCAGGTCACAGAGGCCAGGCCTAGCCCTCAGGCAGCACTCACAGCTACCGCTTGTCTATGATGGCCAATGAGCATGTCAGCTCTCGCTCCAGATCCATGGACAAGTGGGCGACCAAGATGGACCAGTGGCCATAGTTTGCAGAACATGCACTAGATGTGCTTGCTTGCCCAGCTACAAGTTTCTTATCGGAAAGGGTGTTCAGAATCGCTTGCGGGGTGGTGACTGACAGATGTATCCACCTGTCCACCGACAATGTAGATCGCGTGACCTCAATCAAAATGAGCCAGGCTTCGATCCCAGATGACCGGCAAACCCCCTGGCAGATTCCAGCAATTAGATGCAGCTTACTGCCGAGTCTGTCTATGACGGAGCATATATTTACAAAGTTAAGAACTCACACTCTGCCTTTTAGTTAGCAGTTGTCCCATTAGCCCATGCAACCAGCCAAACATGGCACACTAATGGTTATACCACTGATGCTACTCTGTTCACAGCATAAACAGAAGTACTTTATTTTTATTTTGCATTAGCTTGCAAGTTCAGATACTTCAGGTCTGCTTGTTTATTTTGTATATTTTTTAAAGCTTATGAGGTTTGACGCTTTTGTATTTTATATGTTTTTGCTATTGTTTTACTTTTAGTTGATGTTGATGGACTAGAAGTTGTTCAATTTCGAAACAGTTAATGGGATTGACAATTTTTGTTGTCCGTAGTAACAAAAAAAACGAAGGAGCAGGATGAAAATGTCACCTATTTTGAATGCTGCATGAATGCTCCATTTATATATGATTTCTTTAATATATTTATAATGCTTTATATGTAAAGCTACCTGTTAAATAATTATTACAAACCTGCCAGCCGTTGCTAATCTTTTGGTTGAAAATTCCAAACTCATAACGGATACCATAGCCATATGCTGCAAGCCCAAGAGTGGCCATTGAGTCCAGAAAACAGGCTGCATATGAGAGAGAAATAGAAAATATAGTTACAGCCCTTCACAATTAATCCTGATGCAAAATATAAGCATATGTAAGTCCAGTGTAAATATGCTATATAATATCACTTCTGCCCATAAAGCAAAACAATTTCTTTATTACAACCATAAAGCTATAGAAAGCTATAACCACAGTTTATAGAGCTTTGTATTTTTTGCATTTTTATGGACAAAAAAGTAGAAAACTATAAAAGGGTAAAAAAAAGTACTAAAAAAGAAGAAAGATGTAGGCAAAAAGGGACTTTCGTTTGACTGTGCACAAATAATTTAAGTACACTAATGTTCTTTGAAATACTGAACCAGCAGCAAAAAAAGTCCTTTTAAAAAAATCTGCTGGTAGCTACGGTAATCAATAAAAAATGAGGCTAGGGGTAGTGAATTAAACTGTGTATTTAGCCAATTTCTACCAAACACATACCTGAAGTCTATAATTTGAAAGTTTGGGGGATATGGGGATGGGAGGGGGTTTAGTGAATGTGGGTGTGTGTGTTTTTTTGTGTACTATTTTTTTACATTTTATTAAACTTTTAAAACAATGCAGTGTGGTACTGCAAAAAAAAAAAACACACACAACTAAACTATCAAACTGCTGTACCAGGTTTACTCCTAAAAAAATAACATAAAGCTTTAATGGGGTTTGAATTTAATTTTAGAATTTTGGGACTTCACGCAAGATTCAACAAACCCCTGCGAAACGAGCTGGGGCACATTTGTTTATCCCTAGTAGGAAAATTGCTTCACTATGACTGCCAGAGATTAAAAAGTGTGCATTGTGGAAGAGCAAAGGAATTTTCCCATAGTATGGGTCACATACATTATGGTAAGATAATGGAATTGGCATACTAGGTGACAAAGGTAAGAAATGGCAGGGAATCGCAATGTTAATAGATATACCTGCAAGTCTTCCCAGGCCTCCATTTCCCAGGCCAGCATCCTCTTCGATCTCCTCCAGATCTTCCATGTCAAGACCAAGCTAAAGAGATTCACGCTTATTTTAATGCAATATAAAGTCATCACCAATATACACCCCATCATAGTGCCTCATGTACTAAAATTATCTAGAACCAAGAGCTATATTAAATTCTTCTCCATTTCACAAACTGGCACAAATGTTACAATTTGCATCATACCTTCATACCATAACCAAAAAAACAATGTGATTACATTAGACAATCCAAAACCGAACTCGAGTAGCGTTACAAAAAAAAAAAAATATTTACTCCACTTAATCTTGTTGCTCTCAATAATTTTTTTCTTACAGAACATGCACAGTTGAAATACATGACCTCATTCACTGCATTCCTTAATATGCTTACCGAGAAGCCACCATGTGTCTTTTGTTTGATACATTAGCCAAAGTGGTAAATCACAGTATAACCTATTTTACAATATTTCCACAGAAACAGATACAGACAGAAAATGATATCCATATATTTAGAACAACAGATGTCAATTTTCTGCAGGTAGTTTGCCTAGACAGGGTGTTCTGTAAGGAAGGAGAGATTAAGGCCCAGTTCACACCTGCGCGATCTGCGAATGTGCGGCGATCGTGCACGAAACATCGCGGAACGCCGCACAGTCGCACAACCATTGATCGACACCCCAATCACCACTGGTAAATCATGCGGTTTTCTGGCGCGATTCCACATGTGCAATATTGCACAATTGTGGCAGAAAAACCGCGTGGTGCGCATTTTGCAGAAAAGGGCACATGTACCTTTTTTTTCAGTGATTTCCCTGTGGATATAACCCCATTGAAGTCAATGGGGACATGTGGCAAATGCTGTGCGTGATCAGGCATGAACGCGTGGTTCCGGGACATGCGGTCCCGGGATCGCCCATGTGTGAACCTGGCCAAAAGTGTAACTAAACCCTCCTATCCTTTACAGCTGAAGACAGTGCCATCTAAATAGCCTCTATTTAGATCTGCAGTTGCCATAGTGCTCTACGTGATCAGCTATGACACCAGCCATTTGAGGGCTTGTTTCAGAATTGACATAAGCACACTAACAACAGTTATCATGCCTGAAATGTAACTGTTTTGGTGGGTTTACATCCACTTTAAGCCTCAAGCCCCCCGATTAATACATCATGCTATAAGGGACTTTGGCTCTTCATGAACTATAACCTCTATGCAGCCCCATGACTTAATTAACATTTATTATCTCCTTGTTATCACAATTTACCAATTTCTTGGTCCAGTCATATAAATTTGACTCACGCACCATCAAGTATACAATGGTATGTGCCATTCTGACCAGCTGTTCACCGAACGCGTGAGTCTCACTAATAGCAAAACTAAGTGGAAGTGTTTACATTTTCGTTACAGGTCTTACCATACTAGTGCTGCAACTTCACATCACATATGTTAGATTCATGCTGCCATTGCAGACGTTTATACTATATATACTGATATACTGATTACATCCCCTCTGTCATCTTCTCCCATCCATTATGCCTAAACAAGACAATGTAGTTGATTGAACCCATCCCCTAACTGGTTTCTGTCTTTGTACAACTACAGTTCCCAGTACAAGTTCCTTCCGAATGATGTAGGTCTGACATATCTGTTCTTTCAGGCTTTGTTGTCACAGGTGTTCCTTCACCATAGCTGGAGGTGACATCATCTGATACCTTATGTTTTGGTGTTGAAGGAGAGAATGAAGTAGCATGCACTACTTTTTTCCACCGCACTGCACCTGCCGCAGTGTATGAAGGGAAACACAACACACCTGCCGCACTGTAATGCACAGTAGATGCGTTGTAGGGCACAGTACAGTGCAATTAACATGCATAGGTGTGAACAGGCCCTGAGTCTAATCAGCAGAAAGTGACTAAAGACCTGGAAGGACCCAGAAGATTTACTAAAATGTATACCTTTCCTTGTATCACATTCACATCACATTTAATAGGAGGTCCTTCTTTATTTTCAGTAGTGTAAGTAACCAATATGCTATGATCGCACAATAGCAGAAAATTTAAGCAAATGGTCTTCCATTTGCTATTTAGACCTACAGCATTTTTTACATTTCCAGTATTCCCCTGTGAAATTAATCTCACAAGACTAATTGATGCACAATTACTCAACAATTGTCTGTATTAACACTAAAAAGATTTTCACGCTAGTAGTTTTAAAAAAAAATCAGTTTTCATGATTTTAAATCACCCATGAGGCACATATGTAACACACACACACACACACACACTATATAATGTTTGCCTGCAGTTCCGCTTTCATGTCATAACAGATACAAAAATATTTACCGGAATCAGATACCAATTATCGTCTACAATTTACACTCATTTTTAAACTGATATCAAGTTATATTAATACGGTCTAAGAATGTATGTTTGGTTTAAAAAGAAGTACCTGATAAGTAGCCTCATCACAGGCATTTTCAAGACCCAGATTCACCATGGTATTCTGGAGTGTCCGGCCCATGTAAAACTCGAGAGAAAGGTAATAAATTCTCTGCAATTAGAATAAATCTAGTTAATGGAGGCATACACATGTATTTATTATCAGAATAAAGTTTCTCTCTTTGGATTATCTGTTTAGAAAATGTCCCACAAAGATAACTTCTCCAACTTAAACTCACCACACAGGTTACAATCTGACTGTACAATCATCTTTGGATCTACCAACAACTATGTAGTGCACAAGCTTGCTTGAATAGATACAAATCAGTTGGATAGTTTAGGAAGGACATTATATTACATAGTTTTGGTGAATCTAAATTTAATTGTACAAAGATTGTAGAGTCAGATTGTAATGTGTATAACCCCTTAAGGGTATGTTCACGTTAAAGCTGAGTGGATATCAGAAAATATGAAAAATATCCGTTATACCAGTACAATGCATTCAATATAATGTTATTTTATAATCGAATCTACTCTGCAACCACTGTGTCGCTATGATAGAGAACTGGAGTGCCTACAAGTTATCGGTTAAATGTCTGCTTAAAGCAGAAACCTAGTCTAAACAGTAAAGATTTATTGTTATTGACTAACACAGTAGTTTAATTATGAAATATATTGTGCTAGCAACAGTGCCTCAGTAGAGTCCCACATAACTATTTTTCCATTTCTTCGGTATGTTTAAGTATTACGGTATTTTTTTTTATACATAAAAAGATTATGTTCTCCTCAAATTGTATTGCTGTTATATCATATTGACTGCTTAGAGATATACAATGCTGTGCAAATTGCTTTTTTAACCAAAACAAGTATCTTAATTGTAGTACACAAAACAGGAATTCTTAACCAACTTCAGATGATTGGACACTGGCAACAAAGTTGTTATAATAGCCCATATAACCCCTCCTGCCCCCAGCTAGCCGTAGTTTTTTGGGGTGGTATGGTGCATGTCCACCCGACTTCCCCCCCCATTCTCGGTGCCTCATGGCACAGGCAGTTTTGTCTCCAACTCCTCCAACTACCAGAGGTCGCATGTGCGCTACCCTGGTAACCGCCAATGTGCCGACATTGCCTCCAGGGACTACACACATGCACTACCCCGGTAACTGCCAGACGCCAGCATTTTTTGATAGGGGTTGAGGGGGCTCTTCATGGTTTCTTGCACTGGGATCGTGCAAGAAACACACTGATCCCTGCTTAGTTTTCCTGGTATAGGACAGCTCAACTCATTCTGCCCCAGCATTTTCATGAGGACTGTGTCTAGAGACCTCCTCACCTCTGTGGTGGATCACAGGCACAATTGGAATGGGTTACATAGTTGCAGGGCAGCCATCAGGGGGGTAAGGCCGATACTCATGTAAGGGGTCCGGGCAGCCTGGGGGGCCCGCCCGGGTCCCTTACATGACTATCGGCCAACAGTGAAGGGCGAGGAGGCGGAGGCCTGGCCCTAGCAGCGCAGGGCCCCAGCATTGCCGCTCCAGCGGCTTTGAAACAAGTTAGGGCCCCATCAGCGACGCTGCTCGTCTGATGTCGGACTGGCCGGAAGTGACGTCACGTTAGTGACGTGACGTCAGTTCTGGACGGTCCGGCGGCAGACGAGGCCATGTGTGCAGGTAAGAGGAGCTAGGAAGGAAGGAAAGGAGGGAGGGGAAGGATGCAGCCCTGACTAGCCCACCTGAGACCCCTTCAGAGCCTACCATACACAGTCTCAGATGGGCTGTGCAGCATCTATGGTGGGCTCTGCAGGGTCACTCTCAGGTGGGTCCTGTGTCCAGCGCGTCACTAAGCCCTGTGTCCAGCACATCACTAAGCCCTGCGTCCAGCGCGACACTAAGCCCTGCGTCCAGCGGCGCGGGGGGGGGTCCGGCCTAAAGCCGTATAAGGGGCCCCAAAATTACTGATGGCTGCCCTGCATAGTTGTTGAGGTTAAATAAAGACACAGTTCCATCGAGTTCAACCTTTGTGTGTGTGTTTTGTGTGTGTGTGTGTATTTGTATGAGTTACTAAGAATACCTGTACCCCACTATATTGTGTTATTTGAGGATAGCATCTAAATGGTTCTTGAATGAGTCAATACTCGTGGCTGAAACCACTGCCTGGGAAAGCAAGTTTCACTATATTCCCACTCTTACCCTTCACAGTTTATATATTTATTATATAGCGCCAACAATTTACGCAGCGCAGTTTACGCAGTTAAAACGGCTTAGAGACTGGTCATTAAGCCATTTTAACTGAAGAAAGGACAGTTTTTTTTTTCTTCAGCAACAGAACAATGGCTTTCCTCAGTAACAACAACATAAGGTTTGCTTGTTTTTCAGCAATAGACAATATGACAGTGTCTCACCGACTCGGATTTGTCATATATACTCCATGTGTCCTAGTCCCAGAACTTTTAGGGTTTTTCATCAGCAAGTACACTTTACCCTTTAGTAGCTTTCCACACCTCTCGTGTGACTCCTCCACACCTCCATCATGTGCCACTGGCTCTCTAAGCCTCCTTGGCTGTCTCCCAGGTGCCTCCAGCGTACACAGCCACGTCTGGCTCCACTCTGGCTTCTGGGTGGAATCCTCCTGACTCCTGAACACAATCTGTTGCTCTTCCCAACAGGAGCCTGAACATTAGCCAGCACCCTTTCCATAAGGGCTGTGCACAGGTGTGCAATCATTAGGTGCTGGCTACTACTAAACCACGGACCCAGGAATGGAGATTGCATCCCTCCCAATTCTCTTTGAAATCTCCCAGTTCCAGGAACCTATGCCAAATCCGGAAAATCTGGGGAGAACTGCAAACCCATTTCTTTCCCAGTAAAATAATTTACTTCCTGGAACCACACAGCCCCTCTGGCTGAGAGTCCAAGGTGACTACAACACCCAGTTCTACAGTGGGATTGCCACACAATACCAGAGACCCCCAAATCTTTTTACACCTCTGATTCTCCCAGTAGAGCTCCCAATGAGTAGCATGCCTAAGCATTTTTAACTCCAAAATTCAGAACTTTACCTTTTTTTAATATTAAACCTCATCTGCCATGTAGATGCCCACTCCCCTATTTTATACAGGTCTTCCTGTAACATTACTATGTCTTTTGGTGAGTTTATCACAAAAGTTGGCCAGCACTTCTGGGGGGTTTCCAGCAGTTTCCCTTGAGGACCCCTACTCAGATCACAGCTCACAGCTCCTCTTCAGACTCCCCTGGTACCCCCTTGGGCACTCCTTACTCCTCCTGTCTAATCAGAAAGGAATTTTGTGCCACAATGACTGAGTTTGTGGGGATATTTTCAGCCCTTTTAGAGGCCTCTAAATGCATGGAAAATTGTAGAAATGTCAGCAGCACACCAATCCTTTTAAGATAGCAAAAGCTTCATTTATTGAAGTTTTTTGTCATATGACCAAACAACTTCAATAAATGAAGCTTTCAAGGGACATATCGGTAAGGAGTGCGACAAGGATAGTACTTATTCTCTAAATGCATGGGCCGCAAAAGGCCATCCTCTGCCTCTCCACCTAGGTCTCCTATTCAATACTGCATTCCCCATGAAGGTAGAGTAGAAGGTAGAGGAGGTGGATAGGGAGGCTAGGAAGATAAGTGAGTCTCTGGATCATTCCATGCGGCTAACCATTGAGGCTAGGCTCTCCCTGATGTGGTGGATTACTAACCCAATTAGGGTTGCCACCTGTCCGGTTTTCACCCGGACAGTCCGGTTTTGGTGTGTTGTGTACCTTTCTCCTTCCTCCTCAGCTGCTACTGGCTGGAAGGGAGAGTGCAGCACCGCCATTGGCTGCCCGTGAATCTTAGGAGAATACGTATATTAAGGAAAAATTATTGAAATTTTTTGGGAAAAAAAAGTTTTTCCCCCCATTATGTTAGGAAACAATGATTATTACCCATATTTTTGGTAAAATATAGAAAACGGGGTCACGTCGGGTAAATAGACACCAAACATGTCATGCTTTAAAATTGCGCGCACCCGCGAAATCGCAAAAAACTTCCATGCCCAAAATTGGCCATAGGCAACGCTTTAAAAGCTTTTACCGCTCATCAGTTTAGTGTTATCAGTGATTGATAGCCCTACAATTATTGCTCTCATTCCGACGTTCGCTACGATATGTAACATGTGCGGCGTAATGGGCGAAATTGTAGTTTTCGCAGGTATGCGCACCCGACGCCTGTGTGCATGCGTGTATGTATCCCCCCATAAATACACGCATTAAAAAAAAATGTAATTCTTTTTTATTTGTAACTTTACATTTTTTGGGGGGGGGAAACTTAATTTTTTGTTTTCCTATTTTTTTTTCCCACTTAACTTTATTGCTATCACATAGGGGGGTTAGAAAACCCCCTTATGTGATAGCAAAATATGTGACAGGTCCTCTTTATGGAGACATCAGGGGTCTCCAAGACCCCTAATGTCACCTAGGACCCCCCTGAAGAAGCTGATAAGAGTGTTCGGGTTTCACTTGAAGAAAAGGTGGCAACCCTAAACCCAATGCTGGAAGCGGGCAAAGCATTCCTCCTGATGTCTTCAAGCATGCTCATGACAGATACAAGCCTGTTGTTGGGGAGGAGTCCTAGATACTTTGACGGTTCAAGAGACTTGTTTGCTGAGGGAATCTAAGCTTTCTATCAACATTCTGAAACTTAGAGCGATTGCCTATCCTTTCACCACTAGACCCCACTTCTGCAAGGCCACCTAGTATATATCCAGTCAGTCAATATCACAGTTCTGGCCTACATCAACCATTAGGGCTAGTTCGCACCAGATACAGTTGTGATGCAGTCTGTTTAGTTTGGCAGCTGCATCTAGAATGCATCACAATGCTTTCCCATGGGATTTCTGGGGCTTAGTTCACACCAGTGCAGTCCATTCCGATGCAGTCAGAAAAAATACTGCTTGCCCTATTTTAGCTGCTTCCGATCGCAACAGAACACATTAAAAATGCATGCAAACGCACTGGAACGCACCTGAAATCCCATTGTAAGCAAAAAAAGAAAAATGTAAATCGCTGTAAAATTGCGGCAAAATGCATCGCAGTGCAGCTGCACAGACACACGC